AGGAGAAGCGCTTGAGCCCAAGAGTTTTGAGGTTGCTGTGAGCTATGATGCCACTGCACTCTACCGAGGGCGACAAAGTGAGGGTCTGTCACAAAAGAAAAATAAATAAAACACTCCCTTACTATGATCAATAGGTAAGTCATTTAATCTTGCAGCCTCTGTTTCAATTGTAAAGTGAAAAGAAAAACCCTAACCTCTCAAGATTTCTGTAAGGATTATGTGACAAAGCATCCAAAACGCTTAGTTCAATGAGGGTACATAGTAGGCACTCAATAAAAATATTACTGGAATACAGGCTACGAGTCCAAGCTTTTACACCTGAAGGCCCAGCCAAGAGAGACTGGAGCTATTTGAATGTTGCTCACCTGGCTATGACAATGGACGGCCCCAGGGGAAAAAGTGCAGGACGGTCGCAGGAACTGGCTGAGCAGGGCAACCCCGGCCCTTCTGGGTAGGAGTCCTAGCTGGGGCATCCCGCAGCAAGACGCCGGCTTTGTGAGACAGGAGCCAAAGGCCTGGGAATGAGGCAGGTTGGACCCCAGGAAAGGCGCAGATTGCTGTATCGGCGAAGTCTGAGCACTACGTAAGACCTCAGCTTTTGTACACCACACAAGTGCAGCAGTCTAGTCCCCGAAATTCCCAGGCTTCCTTTGCAGGCAGCTCAGGCACTTCCGGTAGCAGCCGGAAGTCGTGTTTGTATTCGATGAAGGCTCTCTAGGTGTACCGGGCGGCGACTCGATAGCCGGAAGTCATCCGGGCTGAGGCTTCCACGGCGGGTCTAGGCAGTAGACAGGTTCGGCAGGCAGAATGGCTGAACGTGCGACGCTGGAGGAGCTAGTGAGACTTCAGGGAGAGCGCGTGCGGGGTCTCAAGCAGCAGAAGGCTAGCTCCGAGCAGGTGCGACCAAGGTGGCAGGGAGGGGGCCAAGGCAAGGAGGATATAAAGCTAGGGTGGTCTGGACATGGAGGGAAGGGACTGGGCTGGTAGGGAAGAAGATGAGCTGGGTGGGGCGGTATCCTGGGTGGATTCCTGAGATAAGCAAAACTAGGCCCGAGCAGAAAGATCTTCCACAGATCATGATGAGGGCGGAAAGAATGCCTGGGGAGGGAGGAGAGTGACAGATGGATAGTCCAGCTCCTTCTTTCCCTCCACAGATCGAGGAGGAGGTGTCAAAACTCCTGGAACTAAAAGCACAGCTGGGCCCTGATGAAAGCAAACAGAAGTTCGTGCTCAAAACCCCCAAGGTAATATCATTCTGGAGCCTCTGAGAGAGTCTCTAATTCCATTTACAAAGGCACATATGTCTGCTTCCCTGAACGAGGTCATTGAAGAGGATCTGAAATTTTGCAGAAAACGACGGTTGCTCTGGGCACTGGGCTGGATTGGACTCTTCCTGAGTCATTCCGGGATGGCATTAGTGATGGCAAAAACTGGGTCAGCTGGATGATCAGGGGAGTCGGCCCATTGCTGTTACTCTTTTCATTTACTGAATGCTTACTATGTCTCTATCACGGAATATACCATACTGGACAATATAGCCTGCCCTCAGGGATATTACATTCTACTAAAGGAAATAAACTTAGAACAAATAATCCTACACATGGATATGTAATTATAAATTATGCTAAATGATATAAATTAGCAACTATGTTCTGAGAGAAATAAGGGAGAACTGAGGGAGGAAGGGTCTGAGAAAGCCTCACTAAGGAACTGATACACTCAGTGACCTAACAGATAAAGTAGAAGATAGCCAGAGAAGAGTGTGAGGAAGGTAGGTCCAGGTGGAATATATGCTTTTTTTTTTTTTTTTTTTTTGTGAGAGTCTCAACGGTTGCCCTGGGTAGCCGTGGCATCATAGCTCACAGCAACCTCAAACTCTTGGGCTTAAGCGATTCTCTTGCCTCCCAAGTAACTGAGACTACAGGCGTCCACCACAACTCCTAGCTGTTTTTTTGTTGTTGCAGTTGTTGTTGTTGTTTTAGCTGGCCCAGGCTGGATTCGAACCCACGAGCCTCAGGGTATGTGGCCCAGGTATCCTTGAAGCAGGAAAGAACTTTGGTAGTTTTCAGGAACTAGAAGATGTATATGACTAGAACCAAATAAAGAGAAAGAGTACAATGGAATGAGGTTGGAGATTTTTTTTTTTTTTTTTGAGACAGAGTCTTGCTCTGTCACCCAAGCTAGAATGCCATGGTCTCAGCCTAGCTCACAGCAACTTCAAAGTCCTCGACTCAGTCTTTAGACATCAGGCTCCAGAGTAGCTGGCACTAAAGGCACATGCCAGCATGCCCAGTTAATTTTTCTGTTTTTAGTAGAGATGGGTTCCTACTTGGACAGACTGGTCTCAAACCTCTGACCTTAAGCAATCCTCCCACCATAGCCTCCCAGAGTGCTAGGATTACAGGCATGGGCCATCAGGCCCAGCACCTAAGGTTGGAGATTCTTACCAGCTTATCTTCCAGGTCAGTTCAAATGCCACTTTCTGTAAGTTCTATATATAGAACTAGTCATCCCTTCATCTTGGTTTCCTTGGCGCTGCATACGTATTTCTACTATTGCACAGTCTTTAAGTAATTATTCATGTGCTTTGTTTGCCCTGACTGAGACTAGGTGCCTAAATAGGTGTAGTCAACCCTCCACATCCTAGGGTCCCACATCCCCAGATTCAACCACTGGCAGATTGAAAACATTCTGGGAGAAAAAGCAACATTTTCTTTAACGCAATACAATAATAAAAATATTTATATTAGGTATTATAAGTAATGTAGAGATGATTAATAAAGTATATGGGAGTGTGTCCAAATAATATGCCATTTTATATAAGGGACTTGAGCATCCTTTGATTGTGGTATCCATAGGGGTCCTGGAACCAATCCCTCTCAGATACATAGGGACAATTGTATTTAATAAGTATTTGAGATTGGAATTCCAGAAGAGAAGGGAGATTCTCTTCCTTGCGTTAAGATCAATTCTTTACACTCCTAAATTCATTGAGCTGTTCCTTTTTTTTTTTTTTTTTTTGAGACGGAGCTTCAAGCTATCCCCCTGGATAGAGTGCCATGGCATCA